GCGGATCTCCCACATCCCACCCTCTGCGTGGTCGGGTTCCCTGGAAACCAGTGGCAGGCGCTCACCCCAGTTGAGACCTTGGTGACCTGTGGTGGAGGGGAAGGCTGTGTAGCACCACTGGTTTTTCTGTAATATGGACCAGAGCCTGTTCTGAGCAGAAGATGTTGTCGTCTTTGCTGTGGATCTTCTACAAGCACGCCTAGATTGCCATTTGAGGTGGTCCATGTAAACTTCCATCTCAATGAAGATCAGAGCCTGTGTTTTTCTGGAGGCATTTTACATACACTTTTCTTTTTTATCATATGAACTTACTCTGCTACTATTGTGAGGCTTTGTTGTCAATAGAGCCTTCTTGATGCAGTACATTAGAAAGACAGGACGGTACGTAAATGCTTAAATTGGCATCTGTGGCTAGGGGCTGGGTACACTCCTTTTTCAAAGAAAATGTTTTCCTTTAGATAACTGAAAATCCTATTGTTCAGCTGAGGGGTGACCTCGCACATAGGCGAAAGGTTAAGAGGCAGAAAGGCTTATCCGTTTGGCATGCAGGATTCAAAACCAGGCATGTTGCCAGTAAGCTCAATCAGAAGGGAGGATTTTATTTTAAATAAAGTTAATAATGGCAGTTTTTAAATAAGCAGGAAGTTTTCTTTCTCTAATAAAAACCTAGATAATTTAAATATCTCTTTCTTTGGTAATATCCTGACATAGTCCATGGATAGGGGACCCCCAGAGGAAAAGATAAGTGGTAACGGCTGCCTGTGTCAGCCTGTTCCCAAAAGAGATCATCTGTCCAGCAGACGTCAGTGGGAGCCTGCCTGGCAGAGGGTGTGTGCACAGAAACCAAATTGCAGGATTGGGATCTCACTAAGATTGTAATCTTTGACTGCAAATCTGTGTCAGAACTTTTCTCTCTTTATTTTGGTATTTGAGATCTCTCAGTGTGCCATCACTCAGGATTTTTCTTTCTATGTAACATTACTGGCTTTAAAATAAATAAACAAAAAAGCAAACAAACAAAAAACCTCCAGTGCTTTTCACTTTTCAGGAGTTTGGTTATAGCAAACAGCACTGATGATACCAGTTCTGAAGGAAACAGTTCCCAAACAGAGTTCACAGCAATATAAAGAGCAGTTGTGAGTCTAAGAAGCAGGGTTGTAACTGCAGAAATAGTTGTCTTAAGGTTACTTGTGTCTCAGACGAGTCAATATGGTTCATAAAGCAGATGGCACAGGAAGGATTGCTCAGAGAAAGTTTAGACTTAGTAAAATCTCAAAAATCAGATTAAGAAGATAGATAGGATTCTGGATTGGTATGCTAACATGTAAGGGTTTATTATTTTTTCTTTTTTTATTTCACTTTCCTAAATCATAACCTTGGAGATGCCAGGGGTGTTTTTATATAGCCGACAATAAATTTAGTACTAGAAAACTGGGAGGGAGTTACACTTAAGCAGCTGTTTTCACTGTAACTAGTAGTTTTGGTCGCACTCATTTGAAACACAAGATGTGATTGCTGAAAGAAGACAAAGGAATATAACTATTAAAAAAAATAGATTTAGGCTAGAATAACTTGCTTGAGCATACCCACAGAGCAGCCTTGATCTCTTTGTGGAGTGTAGCCCTCTATTTGCTGTTTTCCCACTAAACTCATTTTCCCACTTTGCTTTGGGATTCTTGAAGCAGAGTTGCAGGGTTTCCCTGGTGGTTTATGCTATATAAAGCTTGCAAGTGGCCCATTCCTAGATGCACTTTTAGACAGGGACACACAGGCTTTTTGCCCATCCAGACAGGATGTCATTGCCCATGGTTGATCTCCTGGAAATGAGCAGTTACCGTAAGTAGCTCTTGCTTTGGACATGAATCATTCCTGTGGGAATATAATGGCAGGCCATGGGCTAGTGGTGCAGTCAGATTACCCCAGCTCTACCTGTGCCCACCTATGGCACTGCAAGCCAAGAGGGAACCACATGCCAGACAGCCTGGGTCTGAAATTGCCACCATGCTGGTCAGGAGCCAGCTGTATCAGATGGGACTGTCGGCTCAGGCATCGCCTGTCCTGAATGTGGCTGGCCTGTCTGGAAAGGGGAGAGAGATCACAGCTGCTCTGGGTGAATTCATCAGCTCGGGGCCTGTCACCGCAGCCTTCTCTGCGTTGCTCTGCGGTAAGGAAACATCAGCATTGTGCACCTTTGTGTCCCCTTCCTTCCTCCAGGACCTCAGTAGTAGCACAGAGCACAGCTCTTTCAGAACTTAGTAATTGAATATTCCCACTGTAGTAAATCATAGAAAGCACAATAGTATCACAAATCTGTGGAAGAATGAAGTGTGCTTCTCTTTAGCAGCTCATGTTCCTGGAGCTCACCTTCTGCAGTGCTTTTGGTTCTCTGCCTCCACTTACAAGACACGAACTCCTTCTCTGAGTCTGTGTGTCTTTAATTCTGTGTGAGCTCCTTACTGTGGTAGGATGTAAAACTCAAGAATGTGTATCTGCTTTATCCCCGCTGTTTTGCTGACAGTATCAACTAAGATGTTTGCCTGATATTTTAAAAATACTCTTTTCCTTAGCTAATAGTGAGTTTTTTAAGGAGTTTTTCGTAATGAAATATTTCTTTTAATATACCCAGTGCTTTGGTCTAAGACCATTAGTTTGAGGTCAGACTGATCTTGGATCACTTGCTGTCCTTACTCTGCTCTCTTCTTTCCCTTGTTCAGTTCTCCTGCTCCTCAAGAAGTGCCTAAATATCTCCCAACAATTCTGAAACTTACTGTATAGCTTTAAGTTTTTGTAGTAATCTCTTTATAGATCATTCTCATCACTGTCAAGAAAAAGGAGCTGTTGCATGGGAGAAAGGCCTGAATTATAAGCAAGTTGTATACATTTCACATGTATGTCAGGGAAGATAACACATGAAAAGGAATTAGGGTTGTTTAGGCTGCTAGGATTTTCTCTGTCTTTTCAGGAAAAAAACAAGTTTAAATATTAAAAAGGAGGAGAAAAAAGCAGCCCAGTGTCTGATCTAGGGGCTGTGGTTTGGAACAGCAGTTCCAGTCTGTTGCCTTTCAGGACATCGTCTTCCATCTTGGGTGGTGGCCTTTGTCATTTCTACTTGGAAACAGGATTTTGGAAACCCTTATCCTTCCTTATCAGAAAGAGAGAAGTATGTGGACCAAAGCCCTTATATAGCTATAGAGTGAAGGATAAAGGAATTTCCTACTGGAGATACCCATGACTAGCTCTCCTATTTGGGAAGGGAGAGCTGAATTTGTGTATAGAGGAAAATTTCTGTTCATCAGTCTTGATCAATTTTAGTAGCAGTCTCTATTCTAGAATTTTGGATGTCTATAAGGAATTGAATGGATTTGATACTTTTGTTGTTTTCTGTTCCTCTTCCTTGATCAGTATTTACTATTCCAGAGCTTCTTGCTTCCTTCTTATATGTGGTTGTTTTAGAAAAGGCCAAACTTTCATGTTACTGAAATTGCTAACCACAATGTTCAGCTTGTCCTGTTTTCTTGCTTTCTCTTTAATACATGATCCATTATTCTTAACCACATCTGTTCTTCAGCATTCTTTGCTGGGCAATTCAAAGTGGGAAACATTTAACAGCACAGCTATCTGGCTGTGGATCTAAGCATATTGTTCCTGCACATTTTGAAAATAAAAATGTATATTGCTTTTTGCCCTCATGTTTGTAAATACATGTACAGCTTGTAAATACATAAATACATATGCATTCCTCCTTTGATTAATGTGGCTGCCTTTCACATGCACAAGATTTCACAAGTTGCTTGGTGGTCAAGGCGAAGTTTCTAAGGAGGCATCCTGTACATGCATGCCAGACTGCATGGACGCTGTTTTTCAATATACGTTGTTTTTCTTTGACTACTAAATGCAAAACTGGGAACAAGTCCAGAATCTTTAATAGCTAGAATGTATTTCATGCTGATCCCCTCTAAATTGGCATCCTCCATTGCCAAGTTCTAAAGCGAGGCCTGTGATGATGATTAATTTCTCTAATGGGGTTTTTGTCCAGGGCTGCCTGATATTTGTATTTTCCATACTGTAGAATTCGGAGAGAAGGTCTTGCTTATACAAGGGCTCAGTATCTTTCTGGCTGAAGTGCACTTAGGACAGAGGTGCTGAGATTTTTGTATTAAATCCTGAAATCCTTTTAAAATTTTATCTTGTTACAGTACGTTTCTCAGCATACTCAGTTGTGTCATTTCACTGTCAAAATTAACAACAGAGATTTTGTTAAGTTCTTTGTTGTTCTTCTTGGTGCTATGTCTTGCTGGCTCAGGGCTTACATCAAAATAAATTCTTAAAGTCCTAACACACAGTAGTAATAGAACAGAACTGTATTGCCAATGCTGTTCTGTAGAAACTAGTGTATTGTTTTTAAATATGAAGAGGAGATAAGGCTTCATTTTCTGGGCAGCACATGGAGAAATGAGTTGAACATGGACTGCGAGCATTTCGCTTCTTAGTGGCTGAATTCCCCTGACACAAAAAGGGACTTTGCAAACCATCCTCTACTACCTTGGGACATGGATAGAGTAAGCTGAAGTAGGGGGCTTCATGCAAGAAAAACAGAATTTCCAAATGTGAGGGCGAGAATGAGAGAAAAGAGAGAGGGAGGGAGGTACTCATTTAGGAGAACAAGGCGACTGTAAATGAAAAAATCCAAGGAGTGGCTTGGTGGAGGCATTGGACTGTTGCTTGGTCTTTTCAACACGGCACTGCATTTAAGTCATAGTTATTGAAGAAAGACAGCAGCTGCTACTTCAGAGCATGAAGCAGAGGAACTATTGGAGGGGCAGAAAAATAATCATAGATAGGGAGGAGTGCTTTCCAGAGGGACTGTCTTGCACAAGCTGCTCCACTTTATGTAACAAAAGCCTGGTGACACAATGCGTGGTTTAGTCATTGGAGTGCCTCGGAGTGGACAAATACTGCACATCTGGAAACATTTAAACAAGTAATTAGTTTCTGGAAAAATGGCAAATTACTCGAGGAAAATGTTGTCCATTGCATTTGCTTTTGACTACAAGATGTATGATTCTCCTGATGGCCTTAACCGTCACTTCTTTGCTTCTTATACTCACCAGCTATATGTGGGGACAGGTAACATGGTAGTGTCAGGGCTGACAAGCAGATATCACTGGGTGCAGTGGCATTTTTGCCCCTTTGGGAAAAGGGCCAGTGAAGAGGGAGGCAGCGGGATATGTTCCTCTCACTCACTGCTAGCACTCTGCATCCCTCCTGCTCATCCTGTGCATTCAGGATGAGGACAGAGTTACGACGCCACACTATCTGTGACACATACATGATGTTTGATAGCATGTACATGTACAATTATGATGCTACTGTGAGACTGACATGTAGCCCATCAAAGGGAATGTTGTCTGCCCCTGGTAATATGCTGCCCAGGGTCATAGGTGGAATAGCAATGCCTCCACAGCTGGAGTTAGCAGTAGGGCAATAATTCAGGACCTGGTCTGCCCTGTGGCAGAATCTGTAGTGTCTCTAAAGAGTGACTGCCCAAAATGGAGAACAGCAGGCCTGGGCAAACGATCGTACTTGGCACCAAAGTGTCAGAGGTTAGTGATGAGCCCTGTGTCTTTTTGGTCGCTGGTGAGCTAGCATGTTCTAACTGCTGCCTCCTGCAGAAGCTTTTTGGACAATAATTGCTGTGGTTGTTTGTCATTGCAGAAGTAACGCTGAAGGTCCATGTGAGCGATGCCAGCACACACCAGCCAGTAACTGAAGCCTTCATTGAGATTTTTACCAACCAGATCTCCATTGCATCTGGAACCTCAGGAGCAGATGGCACTGCCTTCCTCAAGTTTCAGTATAAGCTGGGCAATCAGCTGATAGTGACTGCTAGTAAACATGCGTATGTGCCAAATTCTGCACCATGGAAACCTGTAAGATTGCCTGGTAAGAGATCTTTATTTTTGTTCTGAGGTAAGATTTTGCATCGAAAGGAAGTTACACAGTTTTGTATGGTGTGTTTTAATGCTCATGGTCCTGGGTGGGAGGAAGAACATCTGTGCATTTCAAAAACAAGGTTTCTTCCTCAGTTAAAACTGTGGCATTGGGTCTGTGCAGGGATTTGCTTTCCTCCTGACTGTCCTTGATGCAGTGCTACGTCAGTTTTCAGACAACTGTTGGTACTCTTACAGCTCCACAGAAAATACCAATCTATTCCAGATTTTTTTCTTTATGGGAACTCTGTTTTCAAGTTCTCTGTTTCAGCAGCTGTGATGTACTAATTCGTTTCTCTCCCAAGTTGTAGCAACAACTGTTGCACTGTAGGCTGTAATGTACAAAAAAAAGTCTTGGCCTTTCAGTTCTTGGCCACATCCATAGGGCAGTTTTAATCTGCAGTTATGTTATCCAGATGTGAGAATTTTTTCTAACTTAATTAGCATAGTTTGTTTCTTCCGCAGCAAAACAAATATAGCCGTAATACTTGCATGTGAGTTTTTGTCAGAATGCCTCAAAATTTTATGGTAAGTGGGAGACTTTACGTTAGTTGTACAGGAGGGGTAAGTGAGTCATGAAGACTATTTCTGTACTGCTAAATAGAACAGATTGAGGGTGTCTTTCAGACCTTGAGATGTGACGTCTAGATGAAGGTCATATCCTCAGTTTTTATCTGCCTTTCCTCTAATCCCCCAGCCACAGTTATGGTCCAAGTAGTTTGGGAATGGTCCCAGGCTTGTACTATACCCAAATCACACTTAATTATCACTTCAGATTTGATAATTAGTCCAGACCAAAGCCATGTCAGGTTTTAAGTGCACTAATATTTAAATAGTACACTAATGCACTAATTAGTGCACTAATATATAAATATTTAAATTAACACAGGACGGTATTCAATCCTATGCCTCGGTTCAATTTTATTTATTAATATCAACATAGCCAGAGAGACTGTGTGGCTTGCCGCAAGGTCAAGCAGCAAATATATTTTCAGCTGAGGAAAGGAACTTGAATCTCTTCAAACCCAGAATTATCCTTTAGGCATTTCAGCATGCTGTTTGCTTATCTGCATTTGCTTACTTCAGACAAGATTGACTTCTTCCACGTTTCCTCTGTCGTATTCTGTCACGTTTTCCAGCTACTTGATGGAGCTGTAACGAAGACAAAGCCAGGCTCTTTGGTGCATAGTGAAAGATGAAGAAGCAACTGAAATGAGTTGCAGCACAGAGTTTCAAATAAATAAAAGGGAACAGTTCTTCACAGCAGCAGTAGTCAGAGGTTGGAACGTGTTGCCCAGAAAGGTTATGAAATCTCAAAGGATATTCAGAACTCAGCATGATAGCCCCCTGCTTGGTTGAAGCAGGTGACCTCCAGAGGTCCCTTCCAAACATAATTGTTCTGTGACTCTGTTTAGAAATTTCCTTTATGTTCTTTTCTATTTAAATGAAATGAAGTGCAGCTTCCTCAGCATACTTCATGTACTTCCTTAAGACACAATCATGTATGATTAAAGCATTCAGGAACCTTTACTTGCCCGAACCTTTCCTTGCCTTGTGTCTCACATCTTTCTGACTCATACCTTAGATCTTTTGAGTGTGACCTACTCTTCCGTGGCCTGGAGTTTGTTTGGTTAGGGTTTTTTTGTGTCTTAATTTTTCTTAAATACAGATTTTGAGGGAAGGGAATCAAACATAGCATTATTGTTTTGGTAAGTCATTGAAGTTTAAAGAGCAGCAATTGTATATAGTTTCCACAAAATCTTTCTTTCCATGGCTGAAATGTGAGCTTAACTAAGAAAATAGATTCCTTTCACCTCTGATCTTCCCCCATTGAGACTGGTAGATGGTTGGCCATTGATTTAATTGGCAGTAGAATCCCTTCTTTTGCTTTCTGTACCTTGAACTTAATCCTTTCTTTGATTAAAGAAACAAGTTACAACTTGATATGCCCCATATCGATTTAATAGGGTTGTTCTTTGACTTACTCCTTAAAAAGGACATGACATAAAAGTTCAGGCCCAAAATACTTGGGCTGTTATTTTTCATATTGACTAAGATGGCTGTAGCCTTTAAAAAAACTTTCCAAGAACTGTTCCTATTTAAATTCCCTGTATTTAAATGCTTATCCTGCTTGTAACCAGCGCAGTATGGAAGTTTTGAAAACCATGAAAGTTGTGGTGTTGTTTTTAACCTGGGTTGGATGATGTGGAACAGGCAGCGTATTTAAATCAGATTCTGCAGTGTGCAGTTTGGGCACATGTGTACAGCGGGATCCTCATTTCCCAAAAATGCCTTTTAAAACAGTAATAGTTGATCTATAGTCTGTCACTCTACAGATCAGATAGGCCATTAGCTTAAACCACTGCCATGGGTGGACCGATGCTCAGAATGGCCTGTTGCTCTGTGGGGTGACAGCTATTTCGAACACCTCAGTGTTGAATTGATAACCATGAGTGGGGAGTAGGTTTGAAAGCTATAAGGTGGTGATGTTTAAAGTGCTGTAACAGGACTTTGCCGAAGGATCAGAATTCCTCCATCACAGTCAATGTACGTTATTTCCAATCTTATGCTGAAAAGCTCTGCAGCCACTGAACTTGTGACATTATTGTAATAACTTTAAGGAGTAAGCATTGAGGGCTTTGTCTTCTCATAATTTGGCAGAAGCAAACTTTTCTTATATTAACCAAAATAATTACTACCTCTTTACCACTTAAGCAGGAGGATTATTTATTTACTTAATGATAAATGGTAGGAGGAAAAGACTAAGATCTCTTTTTCCATTAAACTATTTATCAGCAGAGCCATGACTCCACTTAACAGTTCATTAATTTAACATCACTTGAGTTGCTGAAGTGTTCACAATGGAAGATGTGCTCATCTCTCTGCTCTTAGCTACGCATAGGTTTTTCTTTGAAAATAATATGGAAGAAAAGGATTTGTGACTGTTAATGCATATTTAAAGGGACATTTTTGAAGCAGTGTGTGCAATGAAGAGAGGGAATCTGCTGAGGCAGCACGGTTCAGAATAGCTGGTAGGGTCAGTCAAAGCAAACCATGGTATTCACTGTGATGAAATGTAGTTCTAAGAGCAGAAGATGCTTACGGTATTTCTGTGAGAGAAGAGCTCATCTGGAAAGCAGTGACTCTGCAGAAGATATGTGAGTCATGGTAAATTAATGAACGATTGAAAATAACCTCCCAGTGCAGCATTGCAAGAAAGCAGAATAATCTGATCCTTAGCTGTAAAATAAGGTAAACGAGGCAGAGCATAGTATTTCAGAACTTGTCGTTGCTGCAGCCACACAGGTAAATGTGTGTCCAGTTCTGGATCTGCGCTTCAAGAAAAATGTTTAAAACTGCAGGGTTATATCAGGAGTGATTAAAAGATTGAAAAATACAATGTACAGGGAAAGACTCAGAAGTGCTTAATTTATTTTGGTCACCAGAGAGAAAGTTCATGGGGTAGTTTGATCGTAGTCCATCAGTACCAGCATAGAGAACAGGAAACAAGTAAGAGAGTATTCTTCTGCCTAGCAGGCTTGTATAAAAAGAAGATCAAATGGCTGGAAGTCTGACCTCAATAAATTTTGATGGGTAAAAAGACACATCGTTTAACTGCCCTCATAATTATTTACTAGAGCATGGATGTTGTGACGTAGACTTCACCACTGGACGCCTTTAAAAGAAAATTGCATCGTTTTCTACGACGTGTTTTCTAGTTCAAGCACAGCTATTGGATCTGAAACAGTAATTAATTCAGGGAAGGCTGTAGTTGTACAGGAGTAAGACTTGATCATCACAGTCAGCATTCTGGCCTTAAGAACGATGATTTCTGTCTTTGTCATGCTGACAAAATATTGTGCAGAAAAGCCCAAGGGAAGCGTAGAAATTATATATGCATTATAACATATATGTAACAAATGTTGGCATGGTTTATTGTATTGAGCTCCCCAGGGTGTCTGAATTATATTCTGTTTCTTCATACAAATTAAGTTATTGGAGTAAAGACAAACAAATTTTGTAATTGTGGCCTTAGTGCTTCTTACACTGGGCATACTTGTGTTGCCTGATGTATAGATCTGTTTCACATGTAGAGCACTTGAAAGAAAATTCCCAGCTGTACTTGCAATAGCATGATCATTTAGTTTATTTTTTTGAATACATTTTAATACATTTTTAATACATGTTGTTAAGACCATATTTTAGATGATGGTTCTTAATCAGTGTGTTTCTTCTAATTTCTTCTACTTTCTCCTGTATTTCTCCCAAACACTAACATTTCTGAACTTTAAAAAGAGAATAGATTTCTTAAAACAGTCTCCCTATTTGTTTCTAACATCTGTATGGTCTCTTGCATCAAGTACTACATATTAATTTAGAGGAAACTTATAAAGCGGTACTGTTCTTATATTAATCAGTTCTGAAAATGTCTTCCTCAGCTTGTGATCACTTCAGAATGGGATGACTACTTTCCAGGTGCAAATATGGGATGCTCCTCAGTTACCAAAAATGAATAATCTGCATTAATCCCCTCTTCTTCTGTCTTTGAAAGCCATGCATGGACTGCAGGCAGATCTACTGTTTTCATGGGTGCTAATGGCTAATTCCATACATAATTCTGGTCTTCTGTGTCTGAAAACCTTATCATGAATTTATATCATGTTCTTCACTTTCCAAAGACGGGTGTGTGTTCAGATGCAGCTGCCTGTAAGAAATGTCAGTACCCAGTGGCAGAGGAGGCCAGTGCAGAGAGATTTCTTGCAGCGAATACCATTTATCTGTCCCCTTCCGCACCAGTGACAGTAGTTCTGCTATATATAGCACTTATGTAGTGTAGGTGGTGACTCAGTAAGGACATGCTGTATTTTAAAGCAAATTATTCAGACTTATTCATCATGCTTTGCCTTTTTGTATGACGTTTTATGTAAGCATCTCAAAGTATTTAAAAGCTAAGTTTCATTAAAATCTTCCTGAGGTAAGAAGTCTAAGTGTATTGCAGAAATTAATTCAGACTGAGTTAGTGTTTCACTCCTCTTTATGTAATGGCAAGTCTTTCTGTGAAGCTGGTAATTATAACTCAAATCCCTGCTTTCCACTCCACTCTACTGTACTTGGAACTACTGTGCATGACTTTATCAGGAGTTCAAGCGTAGAACATGTTTAGTTCAGTAATAATTACCCTGGCAATTTAAATTATTTGGTTTAGAAAATGTACATGGTTTCTGTCATGTATACAATATGATTTTCATAGTTTGGGTGGCCTGCTTTTGCAAAAATGTAGGAGACAGTAAGTGTGGTGGTGGTTGGGTTATATTTATAACAGTTCAAATATATTCCACTTAAACCACTTCTCTCCCACAGTGTTCTCCTCACTGAGTCTCGGACTTCTTCCTGAACGCTCAGCTACACTAATGGTCTATGACGATGTAGTCCAGATAGTCTCAGGATTTCAAGGTATGCTGGTTTTTGGAAGTCAGAACTGAATGAAATTTGAGTGACGCTTTAAACAAAAAGCCTGGCCGCCTGGTACCTTCTAAACGCTGTCCCATGGGTGAGACTGGTATTTCATGGGGAATTCTTCTGAGTTCCTCGAGGAATCCCCCTCTGTGGGATGTTTTGGCAAATTGATTAATAGCTGAATTCATCTCTAGCTGCTGTGAGTAGGGAAATTGACTTACTTGATAATAAACAAGTTTGGACTTTAGTGTGCTGTTTGAGAGCTAGAGATTAAATTTATTTTGCTATTTGTTGGATGTTTTTTCATCTAGCCTCATTTAGCCATCCTTGCAGTAAACATTTTCTGATGTTGTTATTGTCTAAGAATTTTCTCTGGTATTATTTTGTTTCTTACTTCCAACTGTGAATGCCTTAGAAATTTAGGGCATAGAAATTGTGAAAATTTCTCATATCTGCATTGTTGTGTACCCTATATAAACTTACTTTTCTCAATAAATTCCTGTGGAACTCAGACTGCCTGCGAACCCACATACTACAGGATGAAACCCATTGTATTAGGAGAATAAAATTCAAATCACCTTTTTGTAAGGCCAAACACAGAAGTTAAAGCAACTCGTATCAGTCAGATGAACACTGTGCTTTCTGAACTGCACAGTCAAGAGTAAAATGTTAATCTGACCTAGGGATCTGACCTAACTTAGCCCAACTGATGTGACAGCTGAGCCAAGTTTGTTAAGGAAAGAGAAGAAATTTTTAAAGATACCGTGATGAGCCAAAACAAGGGGACACTTACTGTGCGTAAACTGTGCCTTACTCACATGTATTATGATTGCCATCATTTTAAACTCTACCAGATCGTTAATAAATGGGGGAATACTACTTTCAATAACATTCCAAAATAACCTTGTTTTATCTGAGGTAGTATAATACAATTATGCCTACCTTACAGCTTTTTTCATTGTTAGAGAACATCCAGATGCAATAGGCTTTTCATTAATGATAGCATTAGATATGACTGGAGCTGAAAAAGCACTAAACAAATTAGGTATCTGATGGAGCATTGAGAAGGAGAACAACACAGCTGCCGTATGTATATTCTGCAATTTGAGAGCTGACATTAACTAATGCGATGACTTAGATGGACTGTAGACTGTATTAAACCAAAAGGGATACCATTAGACACAACATGAAACATTTACCAACAGTGTCCTATAAGCATGGTGTATTAAATACTCTTATGCAAATGTGCTAACATTGTGCAGTTAACTTAAAAAGAGCACTCTTTTCATGATTATCGCTTCCTTTCTTAAAAAAACATAGGATGTTAAAGGGCTAGAGACACATTTAGCAGCTGAGTGACACTTGTAAATATTTTTCACATAATCTTGCTCCCTTCAGTGACTTGATCCTGGGCGTTCCCAATATATTTAACTAAAATAATACAAGTGGTTCTGCTGGTGTAGCAGAGAAAGAGGATAAGGGAAGAAAATGGTGCCTGTAGTATTCTAAGACTTGGAATTTGAATTGTCAGTCTTGCACAGTAAAAACTATTTTATGTCACCAGCCCACAGTCCTTTCCTTGGGAATTCTCTTGTGGTGAAACCTAAATGAAAGACAGCCTGGACATTGTACTAGTGTTTGAATGGAGCCTCTCTAGTCTTCATCCAAAATCCTTGTGACCTAGTTTTCCTCTGTTACTTCTCCAATTTGTTTCTCAGTAACTTTGAGCTGCTTCAAAAGAGCTGATCAGGAGTTACCTTAGTGCAAAAACAAGAGCATAACAGAACTCATTATACCACGAACAGACTGGGAACACTGGTGTTTGAAGCACCAGTCAAAGGGAAAGAAAGACCTGTCTGGTACAATAAGTTACCAGTTGCTTTTGAATAATTAATCAAGCAAGTGACTTATTATGCAATTGAGAAGTTTGTCTGAGTTGATGCAGCCAGCTTCATTTTTGTGATGGCATTACAATTCGCTGCTGCACTCTGTCAGTAATTGCGAGGGATGGAGCTTGCCAGCCTCTGGATCATTGAAGTTATTTAATACTGGCACAGTGATGAGCTGAACTTCAGTGTTCAGTGGATGGGAGCTGCATTGGTACCCTCTGTCTGCCTCTGACATATGAGCAATCAGAGCATGAATTAATTATACTTCAGTCATTACTTCATAGACTGGAGTTCAAGTGCTGGTGTGGTGCCACATGTCATACACCCAACATGACAGGAGGTGCCTTATAGGAACTCCTTGAGATGGTTACATCTTGAGGCGTGCGCTGGCAAACTGGAGCTGACAACATTTGAATCGTGGCCAGTGTGTTGACAAAAGGATGTTTAAAGAAGATAAGATCAGTGCTCAGAAGTCCTTCCCTCACAGCACTCACCAAGTGGAAGGAGTTCATGTGCCAATTTTATACTCAAATGTGTTTGCGTTTTGTTTGGTTTTTATAAGTCAAAGCTGGGTATCTTCAATAACAGAAGCAATAATAATAATAATTATTATTGCAACACTCCTAGCAACAAGTGTTGGCTTGTTGCAAAATACTCTGAGGCTCATAAGGAAAAGTCTTTATCTTCATTTTATCACTTCCAGTTCCCTCAAAAGGTCTGTGCCCAAACAAGCCCAGAAATACTCCATGACCCCTTCTAAAGGAGTATGTTGCATTATCTTCTAAGGCAGGTGGTGAGAGAAGGCAAAAGTATTAGTAGCTTGCCTCTCTCACAAACCTTTTGCTGGTAGCTCCCATCTTCTGCCCCTCTGAAGTCTCTTGCTGGGTTTGGGGAGACCAAACTGAGGAGCTGAGGGGAGAGTCGGGCTGAGTGGCAGGTTTTGGATGAACATCAATATCAAGGAGTTTGTTAAGCTAGAATGTTAATTAACTACCCTGCACTGGTATTTTGTATGATGTGCACTATCTACAGAGGATGCTGTTTCTTCCACTTTAAAACTTCTATCCGAGTTCATTGCTGCACAGGTTTCCTGCCAGGTCTGGGGCTTAGCCATAGGAATGCTTTGCGTTGCCTGTAGGACTGAAGAAACCAAGGTTGGCTTCCTGAGTCTTGCCTGTCTGTTTAAAATTTGGCAGCTCATGGCTTGCCCAGTGCTACAAAACCATTTTTTTAATAGAAAACCCCAGAACCTCTCCATAAACTGCTGTTACAGACTCAACAGTTACTTTGTTTTTAATCATTAATTAGTTTGGCTCTTTGAAAATATAATACCGGTTCCTGGCAATTTGAATAATTCATCCTAACTGGAGATTTAGACAGCAGAAAATCCTACAATTTTACATTGAACTGTCAGTGGTAATCCTAATACCGGATTCTTTATTGTGGTGTTTTTTGCTGTTCTGTTACTGTGGCTGCTGATCCCTATGGGCTGCAGGACCTGCCCAGCAGTGCAGAGGCTCCCGAGTGCTCAGGCTCATCTGTCCCTGAGGTACAGCAAACTGTTGCGGCATTGCAGAGACTCGGGAGATAAATCTTCCTTGAGTTCATTGCAGTCAATTTATTTAGTCTTCTACATTGTTTTCCATTTAAGCCTATAAATTGGGTAAGAGAGATCTGTTCCCGTTTCATATGGGTGTTGTTTAATGACTATCTTAAACACTTACGGATACTGCCAGTCTTGAGAGTCTGCTGTAAATACTTAAATATTTCAGAAATTTAAAAAGTGGTTTTGTAGCTTTTACTTGTATAATTACCAAAGAAATGACAGCTAAACTGTGATCAGCTCTTTGAAGATACTTGCCCGCCTGCATAGCAGTTTTTGTTAGCCAATAAAAGTTTGTTCTGTGGAATTTTATGTTTTCGCATAGCCAGAGCTCCTGCTAGAAAATGATGCAAGAAAAAATTCCAATCTCCTGGTTAATGACATTGGCAGTTACAAAGCTGAGGAGCCATGAGTCAAGCTCTTTAATCTTTCTTGCAGTGAAGTTACTTGTAACCTAAAAGTGCTGCCAGAAACAAAAAGAGGAAAAGAAGCAAAATTGCTTTCAGTTGACATCTTTGAACCACATAGTCAAATATAAATTAAGAAAAAAACTGCTTACCTCTTGATTCTGTGCTGTGTGGGGAATGTTCTGTGAGTATTCAAAACGAGCTCTGCAGAGCACAATGGCTTTTGATTTAAAAATTAATTTGCATGTTGCACACAAAGTTGCAGATGGAGTCTTGCTGTGTGTTGCTAAACAGTTATGGTGAGCATCCATTGAAAAAGACTATTGACTTTATAAACTGGGGTTTAAATGAAACATGAAGTGCCATAGTACATGAAATAATCTTAAATCACGTTGCAGCAAAGAAATACCAAGCGATCTTGAAAAAAAAACACTGCTAAAAGTGTACAAGACAGAGGAAAAGAGAGAAATCTCACATGCCACATAATCTGGTTTTGTTTAGATGTGTTCTTTGCGTGGGAAAATTTGTAAGCTCTTTTCACCCATGCTTTATCAAGTGAATCTTTTTATCTGGTGATTTAAATAAAAAGTACTGTTATCACAGTACTGGAGGTAGTTAATGTGGTAAAGCTTTGTAAAAATTAAATACAGAAATTACACAAGTTAATTGGCTCTACAGGTAGAATTATCTCTTTGAAAATCACTTTAAAGATGATAAACTACATTTGTCTTGCTATTTCATGAGAAACAAAATTTAAATAAATAAGGTGAACTGGATGCTTTCACATACCCTACCTCTGAACTCAGTTTTAGTTTTGGTTATATTCATTAAAGGAAGCTCGTAATGAGATTGGAGGTGATCTGGGGAAATAACATAGTCAGAAAAGCCGCTGACATAGGGTGCATTCGCAGTTTTGCTCTGTGGTACTTGTGGAAAGATAATGGCAACTGCAAAATAAATTTTTAAATAATTTTCCTCGTCTTTTGTAATAGCCCTCTGATGTCTCTGTCCTTCTCAAACTATTGCAATTTATAAAGAAAAATAAAACTGTAAATGTGCTTCCAGAAATATGAACACCTAAATATTCTGCCCGTCTTGGATATAAAGTAACTTTTAATTTTTTCAGGTGCACGGACTCAGCCGCAAGTTCACTTTCAGAGAAGATCTGTGAAATTACCAGAGAACACCAGCTACAGTGACTTGACAGCGTACCTGACTGCAGCCAGTTCTCCCTGGGAAGTGGGCAGTTTCCCTTATTTGCAGGGATTAGATGGAAATGGAACAGGTAACCCACTACTTTGGTTTTGCTTTGATTTCATATTGGTAAAATTTGAGAGGTGTGATAGGTTCAGCTGCCCTACCAAAATGCTGTTCCAAGAAGCAAGAGAGCAAGGTCCACTATCCATCAAATGGGGCCACTGAATGGCAGAGATAAGGAGATCAGAAAAGTTTTCTGCACTTGTAGTTTAGAGCTGAGTCTCCACATGTGTCGCACATGCACATACAAGAATGGAGATTAACCTCAAGGGACAAAAGAGAATTTAATTTACGGGGGACGTAGAATTCTTGTTCAATTTCTTTCTAAAAATAAATTAACACCTATATATCTAAGATTTAATACTCTGTTGTTTCATCTAAGAGTTGTTTCAATGGCTTTATTGATACTCTGAATCTAGCTACAGCTAAAAATGTGCAAGTTCATCTTAGCACCAAAGGAAAAACAATGAAAATTCATAGTAGAAACACAACCATGATTAAATTCAAAGCTTTGATAATACTTTGATAGTACTTTGGTAATACTTTTTATGACTGCAACTGCCTGTTACTCTTTTTCCATTTCTCATTTTATCTTGATTGAAATAATTGGTGCTATGTAAGTGAGAGAAAAATAGAAGAATTGAGCACAGAAGTCTTCAAATTCTTAAAATGCTGGTGTAAAAAAGAGAATAATGTGCTCTCTATGTCCATGTTGGGTTAGAAGGCAAGCAGTGAACTTGCAGTGCAGTACATGAGATTCAGACTGGTGCCCAGGAAAACCCTGCTGTGGTGAGGATGGTTTAAGCTGTAGAATCAGTCGCTTGGGGGTGTCGGGCAGAGTTATAGTCACCGGTGAGGATGGCAGAGGCACAGCTGAGCCTGCTTTGAAGCAGAAAAACCCTTCAGGGCCCATCCCTGCTGTTTCTCAGGATGCATTGACTTGTGATATGTTGATCTAGGTGACTTTGAATGCTAGGCCATGTGTGTAAACGGCATGTACTGAGCTTGCTAGCTTTTCTGTAGAAAAAAAAAAAAAAAGGCAAAATAAGCTTCCTCTTCCCTCTGTGGAAATCTGACTGTATCCTTTTCTATTACAATTCGAAATGTGTGTGCTACCTTACTCCGTCCTTCTGTCTGCTCCAGTGAGTACTTCTCATCCTATCTCATTCTGGATCTCTGTCATTTCCTTGTTCTCAACTTCAACCTTCAGTTTTCTCTTCATACTCAGACATGATCAAGTATCTCTTTATCTTTTTAAAAACGAAGGAATGTACTTGATCTCACTCGTCTGTCTGCTTCCTCATCCCCTTTCTTTTCATGTCTAAACCCACTGAACAATGTTGACAATGTGTGTGGGATTCCTCCCACCCAAATCTTTCCTTAGCACTCCACAACCCAACTTACCACCTTGCATTTATTTAGTGAAAACTGGTCTTGCCAAGATTTCTGATGATCACCTCTCATGGGAACTGCACAACCAGGACATAATCTTTCTCCCGTTTCACCTCCCAGCCTTCTACAAAACAGATGAATGCACCCTTGGTTTTTTAGTCTTTTCGTATACATGAGGGGAACTTTTCCACTTGAGCATGGGGGCCCTGGATTTGACTTTTATTAGCCCTCAGGTAAAAGTGTGCCACAAAAGACCAAAATGACTGACAAAGAAATGGAGTTTAAGACACTGAGAAGAACCTTGTTTTCTGTATACTGTAATGTTCAGTATGATATAATACCAATACAATATACCTATATGTGCATTATATATAGGTGAAATGTCCTCTGTTTAGTAGAAGTTTCTCCTGCTGTGGAAACATGAAACTTTAAAATCCTAGACTTGGGTGGACTTCCTTTTCACAGAACTTTTCTTCATCTTCAAACAGCCTGGTAAAGATTTCACCTGAAAAACTTCTGAAGGAATAAAAAATGAGGTCACAAACTGCTGGGGATTTTTTAATATTTCTGTTCTCAAGAGAAAAAGAAAAATATGTGCAAATTGTAGAATTCTAAAAAAACTCAGCATTAATTTCCATGGGAAATTTTGGAGTGTTCCTGAACACTGCCCCTTCCCCCCTCTCTCCCACGCCTCCTCCCCCCCAAGTTACTGCTCAGTTCTTTCATAGTTTATATACACATCTGTAGAGTTTTGGAGAGGTCCTCCCAGTCAGCTCAGTTCTCTGGCTAGTTATTTATCCAGAGTGACTTTACAGTTGTTTTAACTAAAACTATTCTCTATGAGTTCAACAGTTTTCCCAGAGTCCCCAGCTGGGTGTTGAAGTACTAATGTGGAGCAGTGAAAATTCATTGCATGAATCAGCATGTTTCAAACATAAAAATTTAAATATAAATCTAGATATAAATTCAAAGAATTTAGCTGCAAGTAGTGACAAGCCTGTATAGTGTTAGCTTATTGTTTCTATTAATCATCAATTGGAAAGCAGTAGGATGGTTTCACAAAATCTTGTCCTTTTAACCAAACTAAACACAATTCTCCATCATCTGCAGTAATGGACCAAGCTGGCTAAGAACTATTACTCCTGCTGGTTTTGTAGGCTGTTGGTTTCTTTACAAAGAGTCAAGTCTAAGTCATGGTGGATTTTCCTCTGATTATTTTTAGAGCTCTTTACAGGTCACCAGATGTCAAAAACGACAAGAAATAAATGAAAGCTGACATTTATTGAAGTCCATTCCCATTTAATCTGTGCATGTGCTTATCAGTTTTATAGCATGTGAGGGTTTCATAAGCATTGATTTTAATTTACCTTCACAACAGAAAAGAGAAAAATTTATCATTTTAATGAGCTTTGATGTACTGTGCAAGGTGGCAAACTGAAGGATTATTTCTTCTTGCCAGAGATCAGTGGATTTCAGAAATTTCTTCATCTTCTAATATAATTTGTTCAGCCCAGTACTGGGCAGAGTGTCGGTGCATCTTAAGTAAAAAAGATACAAATAGTCTTTCGCCAACAGAATGCTTTTTCTGGGGCTGAAAACCCATTTTTACAGATATTAGGCAGATATACTTTATCAAGACAGTAATGAAAGAAAAATTCAAAACTTCCAGTATCTTAAAATAAGCAAAATGTAAAACTTAATGTAATCTTAGATATTCATCTAAATATTTCTAAAATCTAAAGTTACACCTTTTGTCATTAGGAATTTGCATATGCCAGAACATGGTCAGGTTATGATACTGAGCAACAGGAATTATTTCTCTGATACCAGCCTGGGAAACTCAGTGACCCAAGTCCAGTGACCTGGGGACAAGCATCAATCTGACAGAAGTTGCAGGTCCATGGCAGAGGTAGTGGATTGAACGATCAGGAATAAAGGAACAACTTTTTCCGCACTAATTCCCTCCTCTATCTCTCTTTTTTATATTCTAAGGCTGTAAGGGAATGATATTGTGCACCATTGGAGCTTACAGTTTACAAATGCTTGGATAGGCTGGCAGCCTTCCCCTATGCCCTAGCTGGATTTCCAAACCATATTTTCCTGATTTTAATCAGTGAGCTCTGTGGCTCTCTTACGTGGCCATCTTCAGTGTGCCTGTTTCCTCAGCACTTTAATCTCTCTGGATGATACACTTCTGCCCCTCTGTTCACAGTAAATCAAAGCAGCGTGTGTGCCCTTTGCATGTGCTTTCATCCAGCCTCGGCCTGTCAGCTGTGCAACAGTGATACTTGCCTTGAAAGCAGGGGAAATGAGCGTCAGAATAGGTGCTATAGTACATCAGCTGCATACAAAGTTACTTCTGGTTGTTTTCCATGTCTTTAGTTTGGCACCTCTTGCAAAATTGAAAGAATTCAAAATTCTGAGGAGTTTTGAGGAGTTCTTTCTTTCTTTAACCTTTCTTTTTTTTTAACCACGCTGTGCCTCAGAGTAGCAGGTGGCACACCACTGCTTGGTGCAAATGTGCTTTTATGGGCAGTTTATGCTGATGTAAGGCACCAGATTACACCAAGGAGGCTGCAGGGCTGCTGCTGCTCTTATGCGGGTCAGCTCATGCACTTTGCGAAACTGGAAACTCCATCTCTTCCAGTTTAAAATACTACAGCTTTGAACTCCAGATCTTCTTGGTTTTAAACCTAAAGCTTTTTTCCCCTGAATGCCTATATAAGTCTTTGGTATTTTTCCCTGTCATTGATTCATTTGGTTAAATGGTTGAAGGGTTAGAACATTTTTTAAAGTTGTGTTGTCATGAAGTAACGTCCATTGGCATGCAGTTTAAACACAAGGAATAATTGTTACCTTACATGAACAAGAAGATAACAATGTGTATCCTAATAATCCATTTAGCTTGGTTTATTTCAGTGAAAGGCCAAAGGAAATACATCCTGGCATTCTTAAACATATGACCTGTCATCCTGGCGATGTCACTGAATGCTTGGGTGTTTATTAATTCTAATACGGGCTTATACAAATGAAGGCCTGTGATATATTTTTTTTGGCCATGATTATGGCTGTGATACTCATCTGTATTTAGTTTGAGATGAATGAAATTGAGAAAATATATGCAGGAGACTTTTGCATTGTAGTTTTCATGTCTTCAGAATTTTCCAAAATGAAGTGAAAAATACTGAAGTGTATATCTTGGTTGTTGTCAATTTTGTAAGGTAGGGAAGATTGATACTGTCATCCCTTGAGAAATACATTGGTGCAGTACTGCAGTGTTGAACCACATGGGTGTATCTTAAATGCCAAAAAATTCTGTAGTCACAGTGTAATTTATTCTCTCCATAGGAAACAGCACTAGGTATGACCTCACCCCTGTCACTGCAGTCAGTGTCCATCTCCTCAACAGCGATGGGACCCCAGTCCCCGTGAATGGCCCCATCTATGTAACAGTGCCTCTGCCAACAAACAGCAACCTGAAGCACAATGCACATGTTCCAGCATGGAGGTTTGACCAAAAATTTGGTAGGTAACATCTTATGCTGAATCCCTAAATGGCCTTATTTGTCTGAAACTGTCTCACTGCATCTATTGTGTTAATGTAGTAAGGTCTTCACTGGATAGTACATAAATCTGTTTTTTTCTCTAAAAGATTTTATTAATGAAATAATATGTAGTATATATGCAAATATACTTGAGTGGCATTGTGTGTCACTTCCAGACAGGATTTTTTTGGTAAATTTACCATCCGCAATTATTAAATACTTTATGTAAAAACTGTCTTGAGAGATCTTGATTTCACTCAGAGACAGAAGCAGAGAGATGTATTCACTGCAGCCCTGAACTGGAGCAATGGAAACGGGCCTTATCTTTGCCAGCAGCCGGCTCTCTGACCTTTGGGCTGCCTCTTGTCTCGAGCTCACTTTCCTGCCTGTCAAATAGGAAACATAATGCTGACTGCTTTTGTAAATCACTTTGAGCTTGACTAATACTATCAAGAAGGAAAGTATATGTAAATTATTTTAAAATCAAAAAAGAAGGAAGCAAAATTCATTAAATATTTTAAAAAGACAGAATGACTAATCAACATAAGCTGTAAAATGCACTCAGTTTTTTTACATTGCAGGGTAACGTTAGCTATTGTGAAGAGCAGTTTTCCCAGAAATACGTGGTTTAGGCTCTCTATTTCTGTTTTGGTTTGTTTTTTCATTACTAGCTGGAACACAGTGCTGGCTGCCTTTACACCTTCAAAGTGTAAAGGATTAAGGGATGCATGAGTCTTGTGCTGGTGATTCCCCTTCAGTTATTGTGCAGTACCTTCTGAAGTATGTACCAGATGGTTGTTAAGAAAAAGAAAGGAAAAAAAAAAGAGGAATGGAAACTGAGAAAGGTAGATCCTGTCAGGAAGACAGGAAGAAAAAGGAGCCAGAAATGTGGATCTGTATGGACAGTCGGTTGGGTTTTGTCCCTGCAAGGCAAATGTCTTAACCAGTTTGTGATCACATCCAGAAGTAGAGCAACGAGCGTGAAACCAGCGTGTTGAAGGAAGGGAAGGGAGGGGAAAAGGGGTGAAGGTGGAAATAACGTTTTTGCTTCCTTCCTGCCTGTGTCTGCTGGAAAAGGTGATGTATTTTCAAACAGCATGCCTGTAAATCTTTTGTCAGAACTTAGCTATATTAGACAGTAAAGTGGCAAGATTTAATGAAGAATAAATTTTAATATTATATAAAGTTGAATAATAGAAAAAAGAGTGGAATGAATGGGTTCGGGGTTTCCCTTAACTGTGGAAACGGCACTTTTCTAGTGCTCTGGCAGTAAGTTTCACTGCATTCTTCCTGAAACTGATTTTGGTTTGAGATTCTAGAAACTATTTTGTTTTCCCTTGTTCAAAAAGAGACAGGGAAGACTGACTCGCATTTGCTTTCTCCACAAGAAGCAGTCCATCCCCAGCCCTCCCTCTCAGCTGTGTTATAGCTGCAGCCTGCCTCATCACTAGTTGCTCACTGCTAGGAAAACGGTTCTGATTTTGATTATGGAGCTTTCTCACTTATGTCCAAATTTCCCTGCCCCTGCAGTGGGACCACAAAACTCTCTTACTTTGCGATATGTCTTTTACTGTTGCATGTAAAGAGCTAGTTACCCTGTTGTGTGCAGTACCTGTTAGTATAGATCAATATGGATTAGTTAATTTAGAGCTGCAAGCTTGAGACTCCCAGTCTTGAGAAAAGTTCAGCCTTGTTTGCTTCATGAAAGACTGATGGAGCACTTGTGTTGTTGGGAGGGGAAGACATGAGGACCACTAAACAAAAAGAGGTTTTGTCAGGCCACTTAGCTTCACAAAGCCATGGAGAGGAAGGTATTTAAGATGTTATGCTTAGGCTCCAGCTTGCACTTCAGCTGAAATAAGCATCTTTCCATGCAGCCAAAGATGCTGAACAAAGATGCATTTAAGCCCTGACTGCAGCATGCCAGTTCTAGCAGAATTTTGGCCACGTCCCAACCAATTTAAATTAGAGTAGCCTAATTTAATAAATAGAGCAGCCACTCTATCTTGTGTAGGCTACATTAACACCCTAAGGGCTGTCAAACTAGCCATATGTAGCGTGAACATGGTGGTACCCTGTCATTCTCCATCCCTGATGCGCTTGAACTGTGAAGGGAGGAGAATGGATGATGTCTGGGATGGCTCCATGCTGGAGAAATCCTTAACTGGCAAGTAAGTTGTTGTAACCCATTTGCACTGCCAGATCTGTGCCTTGTTGGGATAGGACCTCTAACCTCAATATTCTGATTTTGTCTTTCATTTCAGTAGCTGCTTTTTTCAGTGCTAGTTATGTTGCAGTCTCTCCTTAATAGATTTTCAGTGGCTAAAATTTTTACACTTGTATCTGAAAATTGAGTAAGTGCCAGAGACAGAAAACTGTGACTGTATTACCAGGCAATAACGCAGCACTTCTCTCTTGTGTATTAGGAGTACAGTGGGTGCTTGTTCGTGCAAGCCATTGCTTTTGTTCAGAATCTATGTGGTTGTCATCATTACTGCATGAAGTATAATTTCTGCTCTAAAAAGCAGAAATACTTTTCACTTTTAGGGGAGGGAGCAGAGAAGGGACAGAAATATTAGAAGAATGTTTTAATCCTTGGAATCTCGTACATTTTGCTGAGCTCATGGTGTACTAATATAAACCCAGTGGCATCTGATTGGAAGACTTTCATAGTTTCTACAGAAATTATGCATATTTGCATATTATGGCAGCCAAAATTTATTAATGGCAGCCAAAATTAATTAATGACTTTTTAGGATGTTTACCATAAACAGTCTGTATTTTCATTATCACAGAGAGAAGGGGGAGAAGCAGCGTAGTCTTCTTAAGGCTGAAGATCGCTCCATTGACACTGGTGAAACACATAGCCAGCAGAAACGGGCTGACATCAAAATAAGACAATCTGCTTCATCTATTTTATACTGTTTCCATTGAGATTTTCCATTACAAAACACGTTTACTGCCTTGTGTGCACAGCAAGCAGATTACAGCAGTAATATCTTTTTGAATAACTAATAAAATTAAGAGCAACTACCTGTGCCTCAGAGAAGTTTTAGGATAAACGAGTGTGTCCAGCTTTGCTCTTGTGTTGAAGATGCACTCCACCACCTTTCTCTGCAGCATTTCTTAGTGTTGGTAATAATAAGCGCAAATTCATTGATGTTATGGAGACTTATACACTAAAATGCAACGGAATCACTCCATGCTGTTGGCATACCTGTATCTCGTGTTTCACACTACTGTGGGAGAGTGGCTTTATTTCATAGTACACATGTAAAGGTTTGAAAGAGAGATGGTTTCTCATTTTTATAATCAGGATAACTCAGTGGAGTTTTCTGGGTTGTTGGCTTTTTTTTTTTCCCAAGCACCGTCTTGTTTTTCTCAAAATCTGAAGAGACTGAAAACCCTCTTTTTTCCATAAACAGATGGTTGGGATCATGACTTCCTCCCTGTACATTTGCCTTGATGTCAGTAGGATTTACAGCAATATAATTAATCTCTCTATTCTTGGACACCAAATTTCTGTCCAAGACTTCTTTCTAGCCTTGTCCTCTTCAGTCAAAAATGAATACTACAGATCCCAGTAGAAATGAAACTTTGTACCTCCTGTATCATTTCCAGCTCCCACCAGCTGGACTGAATAACACAGCACTTGCTCAGCTGTGTTCTTCTCAGCCCCCATTTCAATGGTTTATGCTTTATGTTAAGGTGTCTGGTTTTCATTTGATTCAGTGAGTGAAACTGTAAGACCAGCATTCTCCATTTCAAGTCTTCAGTTTCATCCTGTGCAGTATGGAGACATTGTGTTGCACCTAGACCTCTAGATCCTCATCTAGAGCTGTACGGAGGACTTTAAAATATTACCAACTACTCCAGAGTTCATAATATGGAAATGGCATTAATTCTTCAGTGACAATGTTGATGCATCTGCTACTTTATTAATCCCACCAAATAACAGGAAAATATTTTCAACACTGTTTTCAACCTTGTGTGGTGAAGGACTCTGGAGTGAAGGGGCTAAATCTCCACTCTTTTGCTCCTCCTCCTTAAAACGTGTTGCACGTTGTGCACTGTGTGAATGAAGTTCAGAGTACTGTTTCTCTGTTCTTCCTCCTCCTTGAACACTTGGTGTACATCTTTGACGTGACCTTGTTGTCTTTAAATTACTAGCTGCTTTGCAGAGGAGGATGTTTCCCCAGTGCCTTAGTTCTCAACCATGTATTAATGTAAAGTGAGAGTGGAATATGGAGAAGAGTATCTCGGGGAACTCTATTATAGCTTTATAAAGCACAGTACGTTATGTGCTCTGCTGTGCTTGGTCAGTGCATTTAATGCTGTAATAGGTCCTAAATACATTTGAAAGTCTGGTTCTTACTGTTTCTGGGTGACGTCCTGCCTTCAGTGGTAAAATTTCCATTGATTTTTGTGGAGTCAGAATTTCCCAATGTTCCTTCCTCAGTAAAACGAAAATAATGTTTTCTGTCCTCAAAAGAAGTCGTGAGGATATACTTATGTTTACATGGTTTTGGTGCCTACTTAAACTTAACTGCAGTATGGTTTTGCTGTATTTCATAAGGGTGAAATGATGTTTAGTTTTTGTTCATAGTTTATGGGGAGAGAGCAACAGCTACTGTCAGGCAGAAACTGTAAGTGGGTTTTTGCACATCTCCCTGTCTAGTTCACGTTATTTGGAAGTAAGATGATTTGTCAGTCTCTGATTTAAGCTTCCTATGTGGTCGAAACGATAATCTGCCTAAAGAAAACATTGACTTACATTTTCATAGTTTAAAAATAAAACTTATTCCTTTTCATTGCGGATTTGGTTAAATTCTGATTGCTACCACAGGCAGAAAATCATTATTTAACAAAAACTTCTGCAGTCTGTGGCTTGATCTGACAGTGGGTATGAGTCCATGCCTCTGAACTTGGATAGGATTTTACTAGGGTTTCTACACGTGAGAAATGGACATGTTCAGGAAA